TTCCTCAGGAAGAACAAAACCCTCTAACTAAAGAAATTAAAGAATTGAAACAAAGAATAATTGAGCATCTAGAACAGCACAAAAACAACAGAAGAAGGCTGCCTGCATTGAAGCTTGTTCCAAAGAAACAGCTAGCACAAGCATTAAAAGATGCAAATACTGCAATATCAAGTATAACCACCAATTCACTGCAAGAAACAAACCAACTAATGTACAGCACAGCTGCAGTTATAACAAAAAGGTATTTGACTCTCTGCCACATGACTGGATAATCAAGTGCCTAGAAATAACAGTTGTCAGTAGAAACATCAGAAAGTTTGTGCAAAGATCGATGGCACAATGGAAGACACAGTTGCAGATCAATGGTGAGAGACTGGGAGAGGTTAATATCAAGAGAGGAATATTTCAAGGGGATTCTTTGTCACCATTACTATTTGTTATTGCACTGTTTCCTCTGTCAACAATACTAAATAACTCAGGACATGGCTATCAAACATCAAAAACATCTACCAGACTATCCCATCTCCTTTACATGGATGATCTGAAGCTGTATGGAAAAACATCATCTGAAATAGAATCGCTGCTCAACACTGTCCATATATATAGCCAAGATATTGTTATGGAGTTTGGCTTGGACAAATGTGCCACACTTACTATCAAAGAAGGAAAAGTAGTGAAAACTGAAGGAATCAAGATGCCCCACCAAAATAACATTAAGAGTCAGGATGAGGAAGATTACTACAAATACTTGGGTATCCTTCAAGCTGACAACATCAAGCATACTGAAGTGAAAAAAAAAAAGATTAGCTGTGAAAAAATCAAGAGAGTAAAGAAGATCTTAAAGTCCAAACTCAATGGAGGAAATACCATAAAGGCAATCAACACCTGGGCAATTCCAGTCATTAGGTACACAGCTGGAATAGTGGACTGGACTCAAGCAGAACTAAAAGCAATGGATAGGCAGACCAGAAAAATAATGACAATGAATCATGCCCTTCATCCACGCAGTGACATTGACAGACTTTATCTACCAAGGCAAATAGGTGGGCGTGGAATGCTACAAGTACATCAGATGGTTGAAGAAGAAAAAATGGCTTTGGAAGAATATCTGAAGAACAATGATGAAGATGCACTGAAATTAGTATATCAGGAAGGCTTACTGACTACTGGAGAGACCAAACTGGCCTACAAGAAAGACCAAATGAAGAACAGAATAGAGGCATGGGAAGACAAAGCACTACATGGCCAATACATGAAAAAAATAGCTGGGAAAGCAGATAATAATAAAACCTGGCAATGGCTAAGAGCAGGAAAATTGAAGAAAGAGACTGAGGGACTTATTCTGGCTGCACAAGACCGAGCCTTAAGGACAAATGCATATAAAGTCAAAATTGAGAAGACAGCAACAGATAGTAAGTGCCGCCTATGCAAAGAAGCTGAAGAAACCATGGACCACCTGGTAAGCTGTTGCAAGAAGATTGCACACACTGACTACAAGCAGCGGCATGACAAAGTAGCAACAATGGTGCATTGGAAGATCTGCAAAAAATATCATTTTCCTGTAAACAAAAACTGGTGGGATCATAAAATAGAGAAAGTCATAGAAAATGATAAAATTAAAGTGCTCTGGGACTTCAGAATTCAAACAGACAAGCACCTGCAACATAACACACCCAGACTTAACAATTGTCGATAAGAAAGACAAAAAAGTCTGGATAGTGGACGTGGCAGTGCCTGGAGACAGCAGAATAGAAGAGAAAGAACTGGAGAAGATAACAAAATACAAAGACCTACAAATAGAAATAGAAAGACTGGGCAAAAGCAAGCAAGGGTAGTACCAATAGTCATAGGCTCCTTGGGTGCAATCCCAAAACAACTGGAGCACCACTTGAACACCATTGGCATTGACAAATTCGCTATTAGTCAATTGCAAAAGGCGGCCTTATTAGGAACTGCTTCCATCCTGCGACGATACCTGTAATACCATCAAACATCCACATCTGCCTATCCCAGGTCCTGGGTAAGGACTCGATAGGTAGACAAAATGCCAAATCCAGTCTGAACATCTGGCTGACTGTGCGATGATCCATAATAATAATAATAATAATAATAATAATAATAATAATAATAATAATAATGATGGAATAAAGTTGGAGACAGGGGTAGGATAGGATGAAAATATTTGTCTTTCTCTAAGATATGCTTGGTGTAGATATTTTCAGTCCCACAATGGAACTTCTTAATCATGTTTTCTGGGACAGAATTCCCAAAAATGTGGTGACATCCATTATATATAATGGGCTGCCACAAACCTATTCTCCAAAGAATCTGAAGGCAGAATAAGAAGTAATGGATGGAAACTAAACAAGGAGAGAAACAACCTAAAACTAAGGAGTAGTTTCCTGACATTTAGAACAATTAATCAGTGAAATGATTTGCTTCCAGAAGTTGTGGATGCTCCAACATTGGAGGTTTTTAAAAAGATATTAGACAACCATTTGTCTGAAATGGTATAGGACAGGGGTCTCCAACCTGTGGTCCGTGGTCCGGTACTGGCCTGCGGTCTGTGAGTCACCAAACTGCTGGAATGGTTAGCGAGTGTGGGAGCGCTAGGGCTGCTGCCAGTGTCATGCAGGTGCTAATGGCCTTTTGTGCATGCATGCAAGTGTTAGCCACCCATTTGTGCATGCGCATGGGCACTAGCAGCCCATTTGCAAGCGCTAGCAGCCTGCTTGCACAGGAGTGCAGGCGGCATGCATCAGCATGGCCGCAGGTATGTGGGTCCTACTGCAGCTGTCATTCACACGCTTGTTTTCCCATGCCTTTGTGCACTTTCACATTTCCCTGCTCCTCCCTTTCCCTCTGGGCTGCCAACCTGGAAAGGATGGGGAGCTCTGGTATAGGACAGGCATTTGTCTGAAATGATCTAGGGCTTCCTACTTGAACAAGGGATTGGAGTAGGAGACCTCCAAGATCCTTTCCAATTCTGTTATTCTAATATTCTGTTTTTCTATTATATTTCTTGGCAATAATTTTTATCTCTCATGAAATGCAAAATTTGCAAGAGCAATCTATCTGACAAAATCTGTATTAATTACTTAAACTTAAAAAATATGAACATATTCCTGCAAAGTAGAATTATGCCTTTCAACAAAAAAAAATTATTAACTCAGATGTTTGGAAGTTCATGAAAAATCAAGCTCAGCACCATTTGGTAAATCACAGCATAGAACTGTAAATCCTATTGCCTATTATTAGCATTAATTTCTCCCTTATCTCTCTTATCTTTTAGCTTCATTTATTTCTGAAAAACCTCCATTTCAACAATAGTGCTGGGGAAGAAATAGCTTTCAATGAGAATGGAAACCTGGCAGCAGCATACGATATCATCAACTTGATTACTTTCTCCAATCGATCCTTTCAGAAGGTCCAAGTTGGACATATTGAACCTCAGAGTTCTCAGAAGGAAGACCTCACCATTAATACAACTACCATTGTATGGAATCCCAAATTTAAGAAGGTGGATTATAAAAAACCAACTAAAATGGTGATATTTTCTCAATTTCTGTAATTTTAAACAAGTAAAATCAGAGTGGTTTCAAGGTCATTTGAAATCTTCCTAATGATGTTAGAACAATTTTGTATCCTGGAAAAATGAAACAATTCTCAATTCTACATTATACTTTCAGATGGTGGTGAAAGAGAGCTTTGCTGGCTGGGGTTATGGACCATCTGGGTCCAGAGGACTTTCCCACTAATGGGCTTATGTTTAGTCAATGGTTGAATCAGTTTCAGAACCAAAGCATGAAAAAGGTCAGCACATCTATTTACCACTTCAGCCTAACCTACACACCCCATCTCCCTGGAGTTTTGTAGGGCATGTTTCTCTTGCCACTCACAGTTTTTCCTTCCCATAGCCAATTCAAAAATCTAGGGACAGCGGCTGGCCATTTTGATATAGTGCTTTTTTCAAGTGATGTGCTTTGAAAAAGTATAGTAAATTTACTGCTTTAGAGAAGTGAATAGCTTTTCAGCAGGCACTGATGCTATGCATTTTGAAATACAGGCAAGATTGGACTAATGTGCTATCCTATTTTATTGCTCATCACAGAATAGGAGAGATTAATTGGACATCTACCAAAGCTAACCATCACCCAAGTCTTGCGCTCACGACACCTGCTTTACTTTCCTGATTTGGATAATTTGTTCTCGTATGGTAGCATCTACAGTGGGAATGCCCCCTTGTACATCTCAGAAGCTGCATTCTACTGCTTGTGAAATGCTTTGGATATATGTCAGGCTGTTACATGTGGTTGGTCTTATACCTTCCCTTCTCTCCCCACCGTGTTGCACAGACATCTTATGACAAATGATTGTGGGCACCCATTCTGATTGAATTGTTCATGTAGGTATCTGCTCTCCAGCTGTTTGTCTTGCTGGGTATTCCAGTGACTTTTCACCTTGCCATATAGTGTTCTGATGCAACTCTTTTTGTGTGACAATGGATGGTTGCTGTTGAAATTCAGAATTGTGGAACGTTGGTGGCCTTGTGATAAACTGTGGTTTCTAGATATCCCAAAGTTGCTTTTTCATGCAACAACTGGAGTTTCTTGTTTTTCTTTGAAGACATTCCACTTCTCATCCGAGAGCTGAAGAAGCTTCTTGGATGAGAAGTGAAACGTCTTCAAAGAAAAATAGCAAAGTCCAGTTGCATTGTATAAAAGCATATTTGGGATAACCATGACCTGGATAACTGAGAATCTCCATAAACATTTAACTGTGTTTTCTAGGTTTCCATCTTGTGTGCTTACAAGTACATCTAAAAATCGTAATTGCCTAGCTTTTTTCCTTCATTGTGAACTGTATATTAGGGAGGATGGAGTTCAGTATGGTATGAAAATCTGTAAGTGTATTTCTCTTGACGATGACAAATATCTCATCCACATAGCACCACCAGAATTTAGGTGTGTAGTTCTGAAATGAATGGTGTTCTAGCTCACCCAGGACTGTTTCTGTAATGATTCTGTCATGGTTCCGACAGACAGAGACAAATAAAGCAGAATGTCAAGGCTTGAAACTTCCTCAAAGAACATGTTTATTAGTTCCAACGTATCGGCATGGTCAAGAGTGAAACCAAGTCTGGATACATACATACAATTCTCCAATAAAAAGTTAGAAATCCCACCCATAAAGCTATGCAAGCAACTATTGCTTTTTCTTGGATGAGAAGCAAAAGGTCTTCAAAGAAAAACAACAGAGTCCTATTGTCTCATAAAAAGATATTTGCGATAATAATGACCTGCATGACTGAGAATCTCCATAGACATTTAGCTATGGTTTCTAGGCTTCCATTTTCTGTGTTTTCAAATGGTAATTGCCTAGCTGTTTCTTCCTCCATTGTGAACTGTATGTTGGGGAAGATGGAGTTCAGAATGGTACAAAAATCTTTAAGTGCATTTCTCTTGATGATGACAAAAATCTCATCCACATAGCGGCACCACAATTTAGATATGTAATTATGAAATACATGGTGTTCTAGTTCATGCAGGACTGTTTCTCCTGCATGAATTCCTGACATTCATCAGATGAGGAACTCATTGGTAGCCTCACACTGCAATGGACAAGGAGACACATTCAATTTTCAACTTTTAAGATTTTTGGACAAGCAGGCACAAAAACAGCCAGGGAAGTGATTGAAGCCTGGTGCCCTGGTCAGTCATTAGGAGTGATGATTTACATTTAGCCTAGTACTTAAAAGGTGAGGGCTGGGCAGCACAAGCTAATGACTTAAAAGCCAGCCATCAACATCTAAAAAGCCACTTACCACAGGCACTATAAATACCACACACAGAACAGCACATACTGTGTTAGAGAGAAGTTCCTAGAAGATAGGGTCCAACATAAGTCCAAAAGCTTGGAATACAACCTCGGGTCCCAGAGACCGACCCAGATTGGACCCTGCAATATTATCCTGGGACACACATATTGGCCTTCATTTGTGACTATATTTATTATACATGGAGAAGCAGGACACCATTCTCCAATGGCAGTGCAACACAGAGATAATTGAAAAAGGACAACAAATGCTAGGCAGGAATATATTTGCCATCAGCTCAAGGAAGTGAGGAAGACTAAATATGGATGTCATTCCCAACCAAAATTCTTAGAAATTCATCATTTCTCATATACGTTTATTTCTTATTATTTGTCAAATTAAGACTGCTCATTAAATTATTTATTTATTTATTTATTTGTTTATTTATTTATTTATTTATTTATTTATTAATAAAAATTATATGCCGGCCAATCCCTAGGGACTTAGGGCGGCATACAAAATTAAAACAATAAATATAACAGTAAAAATGAGTGCATTCATACAGCATGTCCCAATCGTGTCCCAGACCCCCCTGGGACATCAAGCACAAGCCTGCTGGAACAGGAGAGTTTTAATGGCTTTCTTGAAGGCCGACAAGGTGGGAGTAGTTTGAATCTCGGGGGGAAGTTGATTCCACCACGTCGGAGCCACCACAGAAAAGGCCCTTCCCCGAGGGCCTGCCAGCCGACATTGTCTGGCCGACGGGACCTAAAGGAGGCCCAATCTGTGGGACCTCACCAGTCTCTGGGAAATATGCGGCAGTATGCGGTCCTGTAAGTAACCTGGTCCTAAGCCATGAAGGGCTTTAAAGGTGATAACCAACACCTTGAATTGTGTCCGGAGGCCCACAGGAAGCCAGTGCAGCATGCGGAGGACAGGTGACACATGGGTGTACCTTGGTGCACCGACAATCGCTCTCGAGGCTGCATTCTGAACCAACTGCAGCCTCCGAACTTTCTTCAAGGGTAGTCCCATGTAGAGCGCATTACAGTAAATCAGTCTTGAGGTGACAAGGGCATGAGTAACTGTGAGTAGATCCTCCCAGTCCAATTATGGCCGTAACTGGTGCACCAGGCGAACCTGGGCAAAGTTCCCCTGGCCACAGCTGATCGATGTTGTTCCAAATTTAGCTGTAGTCCAGGAGGACACCCAAATTGCGTGCCTGCACTGAGGGAGGTAAGTTTACCCCCCCCCAGGATCAATGATGGACCATCAGGATGACCCTTGGGGGGCAAGACCCAGAGCCACTCGGTCTTGTCAGAGTTGAGTCTAAACCTGTTCACCCCCATCCAGACCCTCACATCTTCCAGGCACCGGTACGTCACGTCGACTGCTTCACTGAAAGGACACGGGGTGGAGATATACAATTGGGTATCATCCGCATACTGATAATACCTCATCCCGTGTCGCTGAATGATCTCACCCAGCGGTTTCATATAGATGTTAAAAAGGAGGGGACACAGGACCGAGCCCTAAGGCACCCCATAATCGAGAGAGATTGTGAGAGATTCTTCCATGACCCTCTTCAGGACATTTCAAATTCTCTTATGTATGATGTAGGAGTTGTGAAGGAATTTCTATCCAAATTTTCAATAGCATTTACAAGATTCGTCAGATGTTTACCTCTATTCTGACTGAATCTAGAAATCAGTTCTACGAATTCAAAATTTTGCATTAAAGAACTTACAAGAAAATGACTACTTTAGGATTTATTTACAGAGAATGACTGCTGACTGATTGAGTAAAAGCCAGATTATAATTCTTCTTAATTATTTATTCTTCCCTTTCCCATTAGACACCACCTTCTGCCACCTGTGTAGAGAGTTGCTATCCTGGGTACCGGAAATTAATTAAGGAGGGGAAACAGGTTTGCTGCTATGACTGTGTCCAATGTTCAGAGGGAAGCATTTCCACCATGGTTGGTAAGAAAAAGAGATCTACGGTAATATCTCTTTAAAAATACATTATTCTCTAATCAAGTTTGGGTTTTTTAATATAATTTTAAACACAAGAATAGATTGATTGCGATCTCTCACCTGCCTTGTTTTCTTTCTTCTGTTTTTAAATAGAAGCTTTTCTTTATTTCGGTGTGTAATCTCTTCTTCAAGAAACATGGCATATTAAATAAACTTTTAAAAAGATTTTCCTAAGGCACAATTTTTGAAAGAGGTTTATTTTCTTTATATGAAGCCAATTCTACTTATCAGTTTCAAGTGGTAATATGGAAACTTGCTCAGAATACAACCATACTTTTATGTGTGAAGATTCCAAAAACTGTTTCAGCAAGGAATAATTGTTAAAACCTAATATCAATTCAATGTGTAGAATTTTTAAAGATCTTATTTATGGTTTTTAGATTCCAAGCAATGTGAGAGGTGCCCAGAAGAACAATATCCAAATGAGAAGCACCATAATTGTATTCCCAAAATTATCACCTACTTATCCTACAAAGAATCCCTAGGAGAAATCCTGACTAGCTTTGCTGTTTCTTTTGCTGTAATCACAATTGTAGTGATGGGGACATTTATCCGCTACCAAAACACTCCCATTGTCAAAGCCAACAATTGGGATATCACCTGCACTTTGCTTTTCTCACTCCTGCTGTGTTTTCTCTGCTCTTTATTCTTCCTCGGATGCCCAGGGATAGTCACATGTCTCCTCTGGCAAGCAGTTTTTGGAGTTGTCTTCTCCATTGCAGTATCTTGTGTGTTAGCCAAAACCATCACTGTGGTTCTGGCCTTCGTAGCTACAAAGCCAGGGAACCGCATGAGGTGGTGGGTAGGGAAAAGGCTGTCTGTCTCAGTCATTGTGTTTTGCTCACTTATTCAAACAAGCATCTGTGCTGTGTGGTTGACCCTTTCTCCTCCTTTCCAGAGTTGGACATGCATTCCCAATTGGATGAGATCTTAGTGCAATGCAACGAAGGCTCAGAGATCATGTTTTATGTTGTGCTGGGCTACATGTGGCTTTTGGCCCTCATCAGCTTCGTGGTGGCCTTCTTTGCCCGGATGTTGCCCGACAGTTTCAATGAAGCCAAACTCATCACCTTCAGCATGCTGGTCTTTTACAGTGTTTGGGTCTCCTTTGTGCCCACCTACTTAAGCACTAAGGGGAAATCCATGGTGGCTGTGGAGGTCTTCTCTATCTTGGCCTCAAGTGGTGGCTTATTAGGTTGCATTTTTATGCCCAAGTGCTATATTATCATGCTGAGACCAGAGCTGAATACCAGAGAGCAGCTAGTTAGGAAAAAGACTAGTGTGGTTTCAAGTACAGCGTAAATAATGCCCTAATTTGGCTGAAGACAACATAACAGATGATTGGTCAAAGAATTTTATTCAGGAATAGATGTCTTCTTCCATTTTTGAAAGCAATAACATTTACACTTGTATAAGGCTCCCTAGCAATTTCAGCATTCTCTGCACAGTTTACCATGTAAGCATTACTTGCATATTGCCCCCAACAATCTGGGTCCTCATTTACCAACCTCAGAAGGTTGGAAAGCTGAGCAAACCTGGAGCCTCATCAAGATTAAACTCCAGGCTATAGGCAGACTTTGTATGCAATAATGTCTTCTAACACTATGCCACCAGGGCTCTTAATGTAAGAAACTTCACAAACACGCAATAACAAGGAAAAAATGTGCACTATTTTTTCTGGATGAAGACATTTTTATCTTTGATCAATAAATTGAAAACTACATTCAGAAATATAGTGGCTAGGATGTCCACAAGTAATCTTATTTATTAAATACGATTTTATCTTCTTTATATTAAATTACAATTAAATGCTAATATGATTTATAGTCATGTATTTATTGGTGTCCTCTTTCCAACATATTTTCTTTTTATATCATATTTTAAATTTCAGGGGATGGGGATCAGATTCAAAATTTTGGAAACTGCAAATGCCTCAGAATGCTAACCTCTATTATAAAAAGAGCTATAAAGTTATAAAGCTATATAGCTTTTATTAGTGACATTGCTAATAACAAATCACTATTTTGTTGAAATACCCAGGCAGAAAATCTCCTCAAGTACAGAAGTAATTAGGATGGCCTGACTTTATAGCTTCATAGCTTGATAGCTATATTTTATTCAGGAATAGATATCTTCTTCCATTTTTGAACGCAACAACATTTAGACTTGTATAAATCCA